CCATATATATTCTTGTATGGGACAATGAAACAAATCAAATGAAATATTTGAGGAGTCCTCGGGTTCACCCCCACCCCCTACTTTTTGAAAACTTGTAAACGGTCAAGATCCAAACCCTGAAACCATATATATTCTTGTATGTGACAACAAAACAAATCAAATGAAATAAAAGGCGAGTCCCCTGGGGTCACCCCACCCCCTTCTTTTGAAAACTTGTAAACGGTCAAGATCCCCACCCCGAAATCATATATATTGTTGTATGGGACAATAACACATATCTAATGAAATAAAAGGCGAGTCCCCTGGGGTCACCCCACCCCATCCTATTTAAGAACTTGTAAACCGTTGAGATCCCCGCCCCTAAACCATATATATTCTTGAATGGGACAATAAAACAAATCAGATGATATATAGGGGAAGTCCATGGGGGTCACCCCCACCCCCCCTACTTTTTGATAACTTGTAAACAGGCGAGATCCCACCCCTAAACCATATGTATTCTTGAATGGGACAATAAAACAAATCAAATGAAATTGAGGGGGAGTCCCTTGGGGTCACCCCCACCCCCCTTTTTTTTGAAAACTTGTAAACGGTCAAAATCTCCAACCCGAAACCATATATATTCTTGTATGGGTCAATAAAACAAATCAAACGAAATACAAGGCGAGTCCCCTGGGGTCACCCCATCCCCTCTTCTTTTTGAAAACTTGTAAACAGTCGAGATCCCCACCCCTAAACCATATATATTCTTGAATGGGACAATAAAACAAATCAACTGAAATTGAGGGGGGGTCCCCTGGGGTCACCCCACCCCCTTTTTTTTGAAAACCTGTAAACGGTCAAGATCCCCACCCCTAAACCATATATATTCTTGTATGGGACCATTTAGCATATTATCGGGAGTATCTACCGTGAGTAGTCTACTATTATTCTAATTGCAATTTAACTGCACCTGATGCGAATTTCGACAATCAACATAAAGAGAAGATGTGGTATAATTGCCAATGAGACAAAACTCCACAATAGACCAAATGACACAGAAATTAACAACTAACAACTTCAACAATGAGCAAAGCCCATACCGCATAGTCAGCTATAAAAAGGCCCCGAAATGACAAATGTAAAACAATTCAAACGAGAAAACTAACGGCCTAATTTATGTACAAAATAATGAACGAAAAACAGGTATGTAACACAGCAACAAACGACAACCACTGAATTACAGGTTCCTGACTTGGGACAGGCACACACAGAATGTGGCGGGGCCAAACTAGTTTGAAGGCGCATGTCTTTCAAGTGATTTATTTATTTTCTGTCAAAGTGATTTGGCAGAATTTTTATTTTTACTTCTGTAGTTCTTCCATTAAAGATAATCCATAACAGTTAAGGAAAGGATGTGCAATCAGAGGTGCACAGTTAGTACCTATAGGAATTCCGATAAGTTGGCGATATTGAAAATTGCTATAGCAAACAAAAATATTGTCAAGCAAGAAGTCTAAAGCAATCGTGGGTGCGCGTGTAATAAACAATAATTTATATATTTTATAATGAAAGAAAGGCTTTTCTTATTATAAGATATAAATTCTATAAGATTTATAGTACAGAAAAATGAAAAGGTATGATTGCAAATGACACAACACTTTACCAGAGGATTGCAAATGAGAGAACTAACCACCAGAGACCCACCGAAGAAGATGTAAATAAACACAGATCACCGTACAGCCTTTAACAATGAGCGAAAATATACCGTATAGTAAGCTTTAAAAGGCCCCGACATGACAAAATAAATTAAAATTTAACGAGAAAAACTAACACCCTAAATTATGTAAATGAAGTAGAACATGCAGTGAGCTATAATTTCTCACTATAAGGATACCCTGTTATATATATTCGGTAAGCAGGAGATTGAAGAGCAATGTATGTGAAATAATACCAATATGATATAGAAGAGTGGCGTAAAGGGGGGGGGGGGTATCTGCACGGAAGAACGCGAAATAAAATTGCCATTTCACGATGAACGAACAATTAAAAATTTCTTGCACGTTGATCTTTCTACCGATTTCACGAAACACGGTGAATAACGAACCTTTTTCACGGCTGCATGTGAAATAAAAATGGCAAAACACGTTGCACGAAAATAACCCTTTACCACCCTCATAGAAAGCTCACAGTAATGTTCAATTTGCTCTGATCCATAGTTATGTGTAAGAATATATAAATAGTAGGTGAATAAGAAGTTGGTGAGCGATGAATGTGAAAATGCATCACACGGTATATACATTGTAGCATGTTCACATGTAGCTTGATAATAAATTTCAAGAAGCTATGGTATGTTGTAACTGAAAAAAAAGTGGCGGAAATTTCATGGGACGGACGTGTAGACTGGGGTTAAACAGTTCACCCCCTTCTTCTGAGCAAGGGGGCGGGGGTAAAATAATAAACGAAAACAGATATGACAGACAGCAACCAATTGCATCCACTGAAAAACAGGCTCTTGACTTATTAGATCTGAATCTATCAAATACCATTCAATTAGTTTACCAAGTCTATTTCCAACACGATTATGTGGAAAGTAAGTACATAGATAAAAAATCAAAATGTACAACAGAGTTAACTTTATATTTTCAATAAAATTTTAGTTTTTCTAAAACTTAAGCAGAATTCCTCACACTCCAAAACTGATTTTCGCCTGTGAAAGACTTTATTGCAAATGGGAATACATATGAATAAGATTTTTAATGATAGTAAGTGAACAGTTCAGGAGATTTATTGGCGCAAGTCGCCAATGTAATACTTACTTCGAACAAACACACCAGTTTATGCTGTCTTATTATTTACTACTAAGACATTTCTTGTTTGATTCTATTAAGTTGACTAGAAAAAACGAGCGCGAGCGCGGCTTGAAGACTACTTTAAATGTTTATGGTGATACACAGCTTGGGTTCGTGTTTCTCAAACTGTTTTGTATGCACTGATGCATTATGTAGATAGTTTTTATTAGTTTGTCAGTTCTTCTTCCATCTATATTTAGGTGTTTGAGTGTCCAATTAGTAGCTTCTGTCTCGGGGTTACACAGGTGCTCCTAGAACGGAGGAAATAACTCAGAGCAGAAGAATACAACCTATAGAACACTGATGATTAAAACATTTCTCAGTGGTGCTAGTTTGTAGTATTTCTTTTTTTTTTTTCGAAGGTGCGAGTCAAGTTTTGTCTCTGTGTGATACCAGTGATCCAAGAACGGAGGAAATTACTCAGAGAAGAAGACAATCTAGAATTCTCTGATGATTCAAAACATTATTTCAGTGGTGCGAGTTTGTAGTTTTTTGGTTTCTTTTTTGGGGTTTTTTTTTCCGAGTGATGCGAGTTCTGTCTCTGTGTGACACGGGTGCTCCGAAAAAGGAGGAATTTACTAACAGAAAAAGAAAACAATCTAACGATTAAACACATTTCTTCGAGTTTGTTATATTTCTTTTTTTTTTAGTGGTGCGAGTTTGATAAAGTGATGCAAGTTGTAATAATTACTGAGTGTTTGAGTGGTGCGAGTTGGCATTGGGCCGAGTTGTCGGGCAGTACGTTGACTGAGCATGCGTGAAAGCATATAAGGCAGGGATCGATAACGGTCTCCGAATTTGGATATTGTCGAAAAAAGATTGTTTCTAGAACAAATTTAGGAAGTACAAAACACTACATTTATACGTCATATCACAAATATTTCCGACTTTTTATGGTTTTAGAGGAGTTTCGGCTCAATGAAATCGGTCTCTTTGTTTAGTAGTATAGATATCTTATTCTACATTGTAGATATAGATTTTTTGATTTTCTGTTTCTTCATAGTTATCTTCATGATCTTAATAATTACTTTATATGTTTGTCAACAATTTCCTTTATTTGCGTCAAATCCCTTGCATGGCCCATTTAAGCTAACGCAAAACAAATTACGTTAATTAGCTAGTTTTAATAAACATCAAAATTCAAAGCACTATGTTTTTATATGTGTGTTCTAAATGCTGATTGGTAGAAGTGGTGGTGTGACACGTTAGGGAAGATACTTGGTAAAAAGATGATAGATAGGCTGGTCCTACCTTGTAACATACGGGTAGCTGAGTCACCTTTGTTTTACAAATGTTTAATGTTACAGCCTATTACAGAAGAAGGACAGAAAAACAGTCTATGAAGAGAGATTGTAGAAGGTACCTTATCACCAATCCCCGTAAAAGTTTTGTTTGGAAATATTAGCAACCGCTAAGCAAGAACTGTTCACACTTTCCGGCGCACCTGAAGACATCCAATATTTTCAATAAGGGTTTTGAGGTGTAATACCACCAAATCATAGTACGTCAACGTCACATCCGGTTGATCCGGTTGCATACGAAAATAGGTCGAAAAAAATTCCCTTGAATTTGACAGTTGTAGGTAATTGATCCTACATTTCATTGCTGTAAAACATTTCTGGGTCATAAACATATATCTTGGGTATTTCAAAGCACCATTATTTTTTAATTTGGGGTTTCTATAGAATATTTTGGAAACTAGAGGTTACATGGTTACTAAAGCTTGTACACAGGATAAAAAAAGGTGGACAATTTGATTGGTTAACTTCCAGTGATGGTTATTGTCTTATATGCAATGAAATGTAATGTAAAATTTTTTCTATAGTACTGGACAGGATAAAACTTTACTCATGCCAAGCATTTCTTTATTTGAATCAAAGATAAATTCTGCACATTTTTTTGAAAAGTGCAAATTTAACAAAGACTAATAGGGGAAAATCACTGGTGGTATTACACCTTGATGATCAAAGTTTAGCTTCATGTGTGATGATAAAATGATTGTATTCGTCTTTTTCTGTTTGTCTAGGTGTTTTTAACCTTTTATATTATCATACGTAATTCTTAATTCGTCCTCTTTCCGACTGTTATCTTAACTTTTAAGCATATTTAGATATATATCATGCACATATCGTAGTTTTAAGGCGGTTTCAAGAATAACAGCAGCTTATATTCCTTAACGTCATTGTTTTATTAAATCACTATCATGAAATTTCTAAAAACACAACAATTTGTCTGCACCAGATACGTTATTTCCATTTTACATACCTACACTAAAGATTTTCAAACTGTTCCCTTCATCAAATGTCACTGCTAGTTCTTTCGTCTTATTATTAAGATGTATATGTGTTGGGTTAGTGATCTCGTCCTTATGAAACGTAGAACGTTGTTTGGTCTTGAGATCTATTCTATAGATGGTGTTTCTTTCCTTCTCCATGAGAAATATCAGATTATCACCAGCTGCAATTCTACAGCTTTTTCTCAGATCTAAGCTAGTGTAACATGTTTGAGTAGCATTAGTGAACGTTGTGTATTTGATATCGTTTAAGTTCTTGAACGTACAGTATACTTTATTATCAAATATATCTAGATCATAAACATCCTTTTCAAATTCAACCCTTTTCACACTTTTTCCATTGTAATCTATCCAAGAAATCCATTTGTCATCACAAAATACCAAAATCTGACTTTCGATACAAGTTATCCATTTGCATGTTGCCAAACTACCATTAAAGTGGATTACTTTAATTGTACGATAAATATCCTCTAATTCTAGGTCAATAACGTGAACATAATTATTTTCAACAATCAGTATGTTGTTTCGATCGAACCAACAAATAGTATCTTTACATATAAAATTATATTTACGGTCAAGTTTGAAAGCGCGAGACTTGCAATCCTTCGGGTTTATGATTCGCAAGTATATAGTTTCAGTTGTAAAACTGAAAGGACCAGAATGATCGTCAATAACTGATTGCTCTTCGATTACTCCAACCTTGTTGTCGTCGCTGAAGCAGCATGCATAAAATTTAGTAGACTCCCCTGCGTGAAATATTCTTGTTTGATTAAGGATTTGTTGTTCATCTAAATGCACGCGTAATTGTGACTGCCTGGTCCTAGTCCCACTTTGCTGGCTTTTTAATGACGTGGTTTGATCATAATTACCAAATTCATTTAACATTGCGTCAACCTTTTCAATGAAATTCTCAGGAATAAACTGTAACGACATATTGCTTATATCATTCCCTAAAAACTGAAGATTTTCCTCATCTGACAATTGACTGGTGTCGAGATGTTTCACGAGATGAAATAAGTTTACTTCACTTTCTTCGGTTTCTGCCTTTTCAATATCTTGCAGGTTGGCTTGCGTTGTTTGTGCTAGAGACGTCAATTGTTCTGTGTTGCTTGATATTTTTTCAACACTTTGGTTATAATGGGTATCTATATTTTTATCCAATTGATTCAAACGGTCTTCAATGGTTGAACGTAATTGTTTTAGTCGTTCATGTTGCTGCTTCTTGTCGTGGCCTATCTTGCTAGACAGCCCATTATATTCTTCTTTCACTTTTTCTATGACACCTTTCTGGTTGTGTATTCGTTCTTTGAGATCATGTATTGCTGAGCTATCCTTGATTCCTTTGGCAGCTTTCTCTATATGGTTAATATCACACTCCTGATGTAATTCAGATAAACAAGCAGGACACAATATTTTATCGTGATTTACACAAAAAAAGATTAATTTCTGTCCGGCATGTTCTTTGCAAATTTTGGACATGGTTTTGCTAACGTTTGATATATCTTTTATGTCAATGACGTCATGGGGTATGGCAAATCTTCTATGGGCTTTACCGCAAGGTCGACACACAGGTTCCTCACAATCATTACACCACAGGACAGCAATCTCTTCTTCATTATCTCTGAGACAACCGGCACATACTTCATTATCTGCCATGACTGCAAATACAATACATAAAATAAGTTTATTTTTTTTATGCATGATTCGTACGTTCGCTGCTATGACTGCCATGACTTTAATACAAAAATAAAATGAAATTCCTCTATGTGGTTTGTTATTAATTGATTTATTGGTGTTTAATGCCACTTCCAGCACTACTGGCTATTTCATGACTGAACCAACGACTTTCGGCAGGAATTGCTTCTGGATATTGTACTAAAATAAAACCATTAAATAAATACAAGAAATTATATTTACAGAAGCAAGAAAAGTTCAGAAGAAGGGAACTTTGACTACATAAATTTATAGATCCTTATTGTCATATTCAGTGACTTGATAAAGGAAAACAATGTTATATTTGTAGTATAGGAGATACATTTATGTCGGAATAATGGATGGAGGTTTCTGTCACATGATGAAAAAAATAAACAAACTTGTTTGTATGTGCCTGTCCCAAGTCAGGAGCCTGTAATTCAGTGGTTGTCGTTTATCGTTTGTTTATGTGTTACATGTTTGTTTTTCGTTCATTTTTTGTACATAAATTAGGCCGTTAGTTTTCTCGTTTGAATTGTTTTACATTGTCATTTCGGGGTCTTTTATAGCTGACTGTGTGGTATGGGCATTGCTCATTGTTGAAGGCCGTACGGTGACCTATAGTTGTTAATTTCTGTGTCATTTGGTCTCTTGTGGAGAGTTGTCTCATTGGCAATCATACCACATCTTCTTTTTTTTATATTGAGTAAACTGTCATGATTATGGTCCGTATTGTTCCAACCCATGATGGTCATGGTGGGATAATGAATATTTGCGGTAATTACTGGAAGTTGCTGGTATCTGGAAGCATGTTAATCGACGGTTGTGTCTGGTATATTTTATAAGAAAAGACAGGATAGAAGGTACCATTCATGACACAAAATCAGTACAAACACGTACATCGAAAAACACAAAAAGCAAAGGAACAGCGCTTAAAGGCCATTTGTCCCAATGTTCTTACATTCGAACTTTTAATATGTATCATAAATATAAGACAATGAACGTGCTTGCTTAGCCTCTAAACATCTTACCTTGTTCATTAACTTAGTTACCCAACATACAAATGTCAATAAAAAGAACCTCACTCCAGGTAAAATACTTCATGCATAACACGTCGATATGTGTATAGCATATGCAGATATTACTGAATGTATTTAAAGTTACTTCGTAAAGTCAATCTTTAATTGGTTAATTATATTGATTTAATTGAAAATGTTTATTCTCGTTCAATTATCAGCGAATAAGATATGAAAGTTGCAAAAAAAAAAAAAAAAACAACACTGAAAATGTATACACGTATATGTCTTCAGAATTGTTTTCACGCCACAATTTTTCAGAAGAAGCATTGTTTTTAAAGTTAAAGAAAAATTTAGAGGTTTTTTTGGCAGAATAAGCGCTGTTTTAATAGATAAATAAAAAATACTTTAAAAATTTAAAGTCTACAAAAATTAAGGACCCCAATCCATAACCTCGTACAGGGATTGCACTGAGATGAAGGGCGACACGTTTAACTTCCGTTAAAAATAGAGGGTATATTAGGTGGGGCACACAGTTATTTTCCCTAACTTTAGGTCTCCTACTAAGTGTCTTTATATGTACCGAGAGCACATTTAACATCTGAACTCTCACTGGATGGAGGTGTGTGTTTATACATCTAAAAATTAGACGATCTCTCTGCATAATATATTGCTAAACGAAAGAAAGCAGGAGACCATATATTTCTATATATTTTCAGTCAATTGTACTGCATTTTATTATAGAAATAAGAAGATGTGGTATGAGTGCAAATGAGACAAAGTAAACAATTATAGGTCAAAGTACGGCCTTCAACGCGCGGACAATATTATGTCTATTGAAACAATTGATCTATTTTCAGTTCACCATTTCAAATGGCGATATTTTCAAAAGCGTAACAGCATGAAAATATGATTATATTGCAAACATAAATGAATATTTAATAAGGTAAACAGTAAAATGAACAACAAATACAAAATCAATTCTACATTGGCTGTGGCTATGTTCAAAGATTTTCCCAAATAACTTAAAATACGTGTATGTCTACATTCACCTCAAAAGCTAACCAAGCCTTTAAACAGACTTATTCAGAAGGGATATAGTTACGATACTGTTGTCAGATCATTAAAGATGGCATATTTTGGTATTAATATTGGTTCACTCATAGGGTCTTTGCATCGGAAATAAACATATTTATTCTAAAACCAGTTGTTGGCATGATACGGGTTATGTTCTTCTCATATATTTTATGATGGTATGATACTAAACCCCCAACGGCAGGGATTGTGCTTGATTTTCATATGATGAAGACATAATCTTTCAATCAGTTTAATTGAGGACTGGAGCTGTCAGTAACTGCCAGTAGTCCCTTGTTAATTTATATTTCATTGCCATTTCGCTTTGTTTCTTTTGTTACCTATTCTGACATCGGACTCGGACTTCTTTTAAACTGAGTTTTACTGTGCGTATTGCTGTGTGTTTGTTTATTCTACATTGGCTAGAGGTATAGGGGAGGGTTGAGATCTCACAAAACATGTTTCATCCCGCCGCTGTCCCAAGTCAGGAGCCTCTGGCCTTTGTTAGTCTTGTATGCTTTTTAATTTTAGTTCATTTATATGTTTTGGAGTTTGGTGTGACGTCCATTTTCATTGAACTAGTACACACTTTGGTTAGGGGCCAGTTGAAGCCCGCCTCCGGGGCGGGATTTTCTCGCTATGTTGAAGACCCATTGGTGGCCTTCGGTTGTCATATCAATTTAGAAATGAAACGCAATTTGATTGGTCAGAGGGTATGTTAATCCTGGGAAGTGTGAAGTTGACAATTGGAAAATTGAAATCCTAACCCTAGGTTAAAGTCGTCGATCTGTTTAAAAAATAGATCCAAATATGAAGCAAATTAACCTTTCGGTTCTTGTTTTCAAGTTCATTGAGATACTAGTATATGATATGCAAGCGCTGGTGGAAACGTGTACTAGTGACTGGATTTGTCGTAATGCTATGAAAAATAGTGTTTAATTGGCGGGAAGCGGTGAAAAACTCAGTTGCGGTAATTAAAAGTGACGTCATTCAATTTATGTATTCCGGAAGTGCCTCATAGAATATTAATTATTATAGTAAGTATCTCTAAATTTTTATAATATACTACTAGACTCGGTGTGATAAAGAGCTCGTCATGTGGAATATACCTTATTTACTTAATATTGAAGACCGTATGACAGAGGCAAATTTAGATGGAATTGTGCGGGTCCCCCTTATCAGGGGCGGATCCAGCCATTTTTAAAGGGGGGTTCCAACCACATGTCCCCATTCAAATACATTGATCATCAAAAAAGGGGGTTCCTACCCACGGAGCCCCCCCCCCTTTGGATCCGCCACTTCTTATGAAGCAAATGAATTGGCTAATTGTGGATCTTTCACATGTATGTTCACCTCTAGATGCTTTGTTTGTTTGTGTTTTTTTTGTTTGGTTTCTGTCTTATTAAAAGTATGCCTAAAAGTCCATTTCATGATGTTATATGTAAGAACTTTTATAAATTAAATTTTATCAAAAGAATGGAAAGAACATGACATTATGTATATTTTATCAAAAGTTATCTTACAAAATCATTATTACAGAAGAAAGCATGTTTTGTTCTTGTCCAAATGCAATAATTAATCAATTCGAATCTGTGTCTTAAAACTAGCCTGCAGTTCAGGTTGTTATTCTTATTTTTCATTTTTTTTTATTCTGAAACTTTTTTCGTACCACGCAAGCATTAATTATTATTTGTTTAAAAAAAAATACACCCCCCCCCCCCCCCCCAAAAAAAAAAAATAAAAAAAAAACTACTTTACTTAACCTATATTTGTTAAAACTTGACTTAATAATCTACTTCTTTGCATGAACATTCCTGAAATATTTGCATATGGACGTTCGGAAAATTTATTTGCCATAAAAAATAAAGTCATTTCTTTTGGAATTCTACTATTTTTAATTAACTATATATAGGAGAGTTGAAATAACTAGGTTTTGTTAGATTTCTACCAGGAAATGATCCTTATAAAGATAAGAAGATGTGGTATGATTGCCAATGAAACAACTCTCCACAAAGAGACCAAATGACACAAAAAATAACAACTATAGGTCATTGTACGGCCTTCAACCATGAACAAAGCCCATACCACATATTCAGCTATAAAAGGCCCCGAAATGGCAAATGTAAAACAATTCAAACAGAAAACTAACGGTCTAATTTATGTACAAAATAATGAACGAAACACAAATATGTTACACAGCAACAAACGACAGCCACCGAGTTCATAAAAAGGTACTACCTCCCATGTCTTATAAACAGTGATCAGATACTTTCCTTATGCCTCGTGACTTGACTTACAAGTTTTCTTATTCAATAATTCTTTCAAGATATGGGAGGTATTCATAGAGTGCGATAACGTATAATTAATTATTAATTCATTTAACCTTCAACAATTGATTAAACAAATATAAAACGTCTATACGTCGATCTATGTTTGCTACATACATGTCGGACTGATCAAATATTCAAAATGTTTCCAGTACAAAAAATATGATCGAGGGTGTAGAAGAGAAATTGTTAATAGAAATAAGAAGATGTGGTGTGAGTGCCAATGAGACAACTCTCCATCCAAGTCACAATGTGTAAAAAGTAAACAATTATAGGTCAAAGTACGGCCTTCGAGTATATATATAAAGTTTTACAGGCACATGCTGCCACAGGTTGGTTTAATTGATTGATTGATTGATTGATTGATTATAAATGAATGGTGATATGTGATTCACTTCATTGAGACAGTAACCTAGCGACACAGAAAAAACATAAGACATAACGTCCGGTGGCACATATTACATTAATATGTATAACGAGAACAAATTGAACACTATATTAAATAAGTAGTTTTTCGTGGATGAAAGATTGAACGGGACAAAGGTCAGAAGTCACGACTGCCACGAGAAAAAGAGGATTTTTTTTTTAAATAGGGGTCAAAGTTAAGCCTCGTCCAGAACCGCCTACGGAACCCCTCTAAGAGTTGTTGCGTGTGTTCTTTACGTACAGTAAGCGTAAGACTCTTCCGTGACGAGGAGTAGTCAAATGAACTATGTTTCATCTTATCTTACGTTTTCCCAAATCCTTTTCATTTTCCCTAGTAATAACATTTGTAACACGTGTAGCTATCAGGATGTTTGATCCCATTTACATATCGATTCACAATTTATACTAAAAACAGTTATCCCCGGGTAAAGGCTTGAGCTTGATCCGATATTTTTGTCTTTATTGTTTTTTCAGTTGTGTAAAATTATTGTCTTTTTAGTATAATGATGTGAATCTATTGACTTTCTACATTATATAGAACTGCAATAGTACGGTCGTAATATACAACGTATTTGCTTGAGGCTCAGTAACTGGTAGAAATGGGCGAAGCTTATCTTTTTTGTTTAAAAGGAAAATACGGTTATCATTTTAGGGTAGTTAGGGGCATATGCTAGATAGTGGATTATGTCAAACCGTTTCCGAATGATAACTTGGAAACTGGTCCACAAGTACTTTTAAAATTGGAATATGTGACAAAATGAAGGTCAAGTTCGATTATGACGATTTTCATTGTTCCCGTTCATGAGTTTTGGTCCTTGATAAATTGAAAAATGGCGAGCGGCACCCTTTCGTTTCTATTTAGATCACTTTAGAACAGTTTAACCATTCCTTTTGAAGTTATACCTTACAAAATGGAGGTAAAGTTCGATATTGACGATTTCCCAATTTCCTTTCGATTTTATGTTAGGCGCTAACCATTCATCTTATGTACGGTGCATGGGTTTTGTTAATTTGTTAATGTCTTGAAACAAAAACAAAAATTTCCGACAGCAGGAGAAAATTGATTATTAGTATTTGAAAAATCAGCATTGATCTTTAATAAATGATTCTTATTTCTGTATGTTAATAAATAAAAATAGTTTGTTTTTTACTAAATTTGTCTAAATTCGAGACCCCCCCAAAAAAAACCAAAACAAACAAACAAAACACAAACAAAAAGCACACACACACACTCTAAAGAATGGTCGGTGCCTTAGT